TTAATAATTAAATAATCATTATTAATTTATTAGATAGAAGTGTCGTTATCAATTTTAAATTTCATTATTATTTTTTACATAAGAGTTAAATTTTCGATTCATCTAATCAAGATTTAAATTAATTTAATTTATAATAATTTTTCATTAAGTACTGGGATAAAAACATTTATTCTATAACTAATTATTTGAGAATAATTTATTAATAAATAGTTACTTTAAGACGTCAATAAATGCATCATATAATAAAGTATTGGAGTTTATAAATGATCGACTTCTTAAGCTTTCGAGCATCTTCATATGAAACAGTAAGAAGAAGAAGCTTTCGTGTGAATTCACCAATTCATAAAGAACTTAAATGAATATTTTACGAAAGTAAAATACATAAAGTTATAATTATGAGTTACGAAGATTATTTATTTATTTTCTAAAGTTATCAACGTAATGTAATTTAAATAATTATAATTTAAAATGTGTTACGTTTTGTAGAATATATTTTAAAAGATGTTAATATACTTGTGTTAGATTTTTATAATTATTAATATGATTAACGGACTCAAACAATATAAAAATATTCGGGACTAATCATAACCGGAAGCGTAAATGATTACGTTGCTTCCGGATTTATTTAACCCTCAGCCAACTCAGCCGGAAATCATGTTATTTTCATACTAAAGTTTCTAAGTTTATCATTGAAAAATCATCATTGGCATTTTAACCTCAATACTTTTTTAGTATATTAATTATCATCTCAATATTTTCATAATTTTATAAATAAATGTTACATTACAACTTAATAAAATGTTTTATTTATAGTTAAAGTTAAGTATTTGAACTTTAATCTATAATAAAATAAGTGAACCGATGATTTAATTTCGAAATAATATACATTATATTAAAATGTATTAAATTATTAAATCATTTTAAATTAAAATATATACATATATATTATTAATGTATTTAGTATGCATATTACGTTTAAATATTTCGTAAAATTATAAACAATTTTATTTATCTTAGCTTCGTATTTTCAAACGAAATTGCACGAAATTTGAAATTCGTTTGATGTTCATTTGATCAAATTTAATATTGAAGATGCTTGAACATACATTTTAAAGGCGAATATTGAAATCGACGATAATTTTAGTTTGTTAATATGTAGGCTTACGCTACAAATATTAACATTTATTATAAACTAGTAGCAATAAATGATCAATATAAAATGATTGATCAGAGCCTGGTTATAAAATCGACAATTTAATGCTGCAAAACTGACTTTTTCATAATTTTAGACTTACTTCCTTCGGCGAGAAAAATGTTACGTCACTCTGACATCATCTTACGCTTCCTTGTTATAAAAAAAGCATAAGTGACGTCAAAATTCGACCATACCACAAGAACAATGAGATCAAAATGATGTAAGAGTGCGCACTACTCTGACAAAATAAATGCGCATTTTTATCTTCAAACTAACGAAATTGTATGAAAATATTCTTATCTTACCGTGTTTTATTACAAATATTATTTAATCAATTGAAATATAAATTATAAAAATATTATTTATACTAAATTAATCATAAAAATTAATACTGACAATAATTAATAATCATTAATTACTAAAAAATCTTATTAAAAGAAGAATTTTTAATCACTTACATCTAATAAAGTGTAAGAAAGTTTTATAATACAGTAGAACCTCGTCCCTCGATAACTTAGCACTCCGGATAACTGGTCCACACCTTGGCAGGGCGAAAAAATCCTTAGTTAATTAATTTTCATTATAGACAGCTTTATAAAAGTATAAAAGCTCTCATAAAGTATTTTTCTGAGGTCTGTCTTATCAGGTAAATTACTGTACACAGTGTATTCATTAATTTTCATTTTCATGTAGTGGCTCTATGCCTTCATAAAGGACGTACTTTTCCTTTGTTTAAGGGTATTTGGGCAGTTTATTCTCTGTTATATTCTGTACAAGTAAACAATACCAAGTTACAGTACAGTATTTTCTGAGGAAATAT